GCCCCCACACCGGGATTGAACCTACAACCTGGCCACGAGCCACTGGCGACCTTTTGGTGCACACGCCAGGGCTGGAATTTCATTTCTTAAGCCAAACTAAGTAAATAACAAATGATAATCTATAAATTTGAAGAGCTTACTGATAACCTAAAACAATACTGATCCTCAAACTAGGGTAAAAATCAAGTCACTAAGCGCAAAATAGGATTTAGAAACATCTGCAATGAAAGGCGATTAAAATTAAACCTGACTTCATAATTCAAAATGCTTTTTACTGAATTTTAAGATGAGTCAATTATATTGCTGTTCTTGAAAATTTTTTTACAGTATATGCTGCTTTAAAATAAATTTAAAAACATCTAATGTTTCAAAATAAGCTCTTGAGAAGTCCAATGATAGCACTTTTCTGTTTTTTTCACACAAAACCAACCACGTTTGCTGTCTTCACCAGTCTGTCGTTTTGTTTTACCCTAAGCATTGTATATGAAGTCTCCAGCCTGGCCATGGACCAGAGCTCTGGTATTCTGTTATAGTCATACCACACCATCATGAATTTAATCTATGGACTAGGTCTCTAGGAAGTAAAACATCAGCTCTCTTAGGATTATGCAACTTAGCTAGTTTCTCTATAATGAATATGAACCAAGCAACAGTACCACAGGCCATTCTACAGAACTTCCTCATGGCATATCCACTATAGACCATTTGATTCGTAGTGAATGAATAATTCTGGCTGCTCTGAGCCCCTCTCCCTCCCTACCTCCTAAATCCAAGGACATTTAGCCATTTAAGTACAAAGTGCCTTTGATCATGAACCTTTAGATTTGTACTTGAAATGTGGCTAGTCTAAATTGAGATTTTCTAAGTGTAAAATATAAATCTAATTTCAAAGATTAAATACAAAAACTTTATCTCATTAATAATTTGTTTTATAAGCAAAACCCATTGAAATGATACTATTTAGGCAATAGTAGGTTGAATAAAATATATTAAGTTAATTTCACCTGTTTTTACTTTTTTAACGTGACAACTAGAAAATGTGAAGTTATATACATGGCTTCTGTTTGTGGCTTTCATTACATTTCTACTGGACAGCGATGCTCGAGATGATACTGCTATATTTTTGAACTTCTAAAAGCATTTAACCTGTCGTTAACATACTTAACCATTTTTAAGAGGAAGTAATTTTCTATTTGCCTCTTGTACACATTGGGTAATTACAATTATACAGTGGTTTTCAAACTTCTTTGGAAAGGACTCTGAGGAGGAAACACAGGAACTGCTACAAGTGGATTCTAGGTCTCCTCCATCAAATGTTGTCATCTGGCTCATATATTGGATTCCATTGAAAAACAAGAGGTTTAGTAAAATATTGGAAGCCCCTTTTATAGAAGATACTAAATAAATAGGGCTTTCCAAAATGTGCAAGATTGGTTCTTGAACCAGTGATTTACATTAAATATTCTCCAACTGGAAATTTCCTACCATGGTGGGTATCTCTAAATCAGCAAATCTTTACAAATATTGCAAGGGTCAACTAATCTATTAGCCTCTTTAAGTCTTTTTTGGTAGGTAAGGAAAAAATTAGAGAACATACATCAGCAAACTGTCATACTGCAACAACCAGGAAAAAAACTTAAGATTAAAAAAAAAATCTCTTCCAGTCAGAATCAAGCAATACTATATTTTAATTTTGATGTATTATAAGGACATTGGTAGGACCAGTAGCCTTGTTTTATTCCAGGCCAACCAGAATAAAATATTTTGAAAATCTGAGTTTTTTAGTATCTCGAAATATGTAAATTTCAAATTGGGAGAGATTATCAGGTTATTTGAGGGATTATGGCTCAAAGCTTTAGTGGTATGAACATCCTTGGGCATGTGAAGATCAGACCTCACTCTGTCTTTCCCACCTAGATGCTGGCTCTCTAAATTTTCTATCTGGGATGGACAATTTCACTACTACCTCCGGGTTCCCAGCTCAGGCTTAATTTCTGCTACCACAGTCAAGTCTGTGAAGCACAGCATGTTCAAAGACCTGGGCAATGCAATATCAGTTTCCTGTTTACATACTTCTCTCCCTCCAAATTACACATTCTAAACCCAAATGCAGTTTCTATGTATAATATAACTATACCATTTGGTGAAAAGCAACATCATGTTTACTTTAGTGAATGATGAGTTCTCTGTGCCCTTCACAAATACCTCTTTACATATTAGAATAAGTCTGTGGTTTGAAATTTTATGAAATATCAAACATTTATTTGGTATATTGAGAAAAGACTATAATTTTTCTTTCTGACAAAGAGATTTTGTGTTATTTTTCAAAAAACTATTAATATGGTTGTTTCATATTACACCTACCTGTATCTTTTTGGATATTTCTTCTAATATCTTTAAATTTACAACCTACAAGTAGTAATAAAACAAGCAAAAAAGTCAGTTTTTGGTCATATATAACTAATATATTTAAACACAATATAGTTACTTTAGAAAGTCATTCCACATGATCATTTATATGCTTCAATTCCATTTTGAATGTAAATTTCAATTTATTATATTCTTAGGAATATAATCCAGAGATTTATAGAGCCCAGCTGAAGGAACTACTAATGCAAGGATTATTTATTCCGTGTCCTTTCTGTAACAAGTACCTGGCTATAGTCCTCAACCTCACGCTGTACCCCAGTGTTTAAATTTTACTAAGAGAGGTAAGTCAGAAATGTAAAACTGAATGTGGATCTAGAAGGCTTGAAGCATGGATCTATGTTCCTTTATCTATGGCCCACCATAAAGGCTCCCAACAGTGAGTTCCCCCTGCTGATGGCCTATGACATTCTCCTAACAGTACAGAGAATAATGTGTTAGCTGACCAGAAACAAACAAAAAATCTAAACACCAAAAACTCTTTAAGTATATCAATAAGAAGCCAACTGTAGTGTTACCTACCTGGAAGAGCACACAAACCCAGAAACTGAGAACAATTCACTCGTGACAGGGGTAGCCTGAAAAGACAAAACTTTATCATAAAGTATAGCTCAGTTTATAAAAAGTTATAAATGGAAATTCAATTTAACAAACGCATGTGCTTGCCACTAAACAAGGGTATTTTAAAGGTTTATAGTAGTCACAAAACAAAAATTCATAGTTAAATATCAATGTGTTGGTCACAAAAAGGCCTAGAAAGAATGGAAGTTTTGAAACAGAGACCTATCATTTACTTTGTTACAATTTTTTTTTTTTTTTTTTTTTAAATATATCTTTATTGATTTCAGAGGGAGGAAAGGAGAGGGAGAGAGAGATAGAAACATCAATGATGAGAGAGTCATTGATCAAGCCCACATCCCGGGCATGTGCCCTGACCGGGAATCGAACCCTGATTGCCTGGATCCCAGGTCAACGCTCAACCGCTGAGCCACACCCGGCCGGGCACTTTGTTACAATTTAAGTCCTAAAAAGTGGCAAGTTAATTTAAACATACCTTAAAGATAATAATGCCTAGAATGCCTACGGCTAATATAAAGTGTACTTAAGTTACCCGGTGGTATATTACCTGATAGTTTTTCTTAATAACCTTAGGAAATAAGCTGGAAAATGACCATCTGACAATTTCATCCCCAGCATTCAGTACACATTACTATTTTAAGATTTCTTTGTAGGATCTCCTTAAACATACAATTTCATGATAAAACAAAATCACAGGCCACCCACTTTTTGTAGTAATGGATTTTGGTTAAAATGAAATAATTTCAAAAAACTGTATTTCCAGTTTGCAGTACTCAGGGACTTGGGGGGTGGGGTGGTGGTGGTGGCAGAGGCTTACCTGACTTGCAAGACAGAAAATGAGTTTAGAGGAAAACAAGGGACAACATATAAACACCACCTGACTGAAAATTTGATGAATTTTTGAGTTTTAAAGGGGGGTTAGAAGGGGCAATGAAAAATAATTGCTATTTGATGGCAGAACAAAAAACTTTAGGGACAACACTTACATTTTTTTCTCTTTCTACAGTAGGGAAGGGCTTTCTTTCTTTTAGATAGAGAGGAAGAGAGATAGAGATAGAGAAGAGAGAACACTGACTTGTTGTCCCACCTATTTATGCATTCATTGGTTGATTCTTGTATGTGCCCTGACCAGGGATGGAACCCTTGGTGTATGGGGAGGATGCTCTAACCAGCTGAGCTATTCGGCCAGGGAGGGAATGGCTTTCTTAAATAAAGCAATGATTACATTTACAGCAAGAAAGAAAGCATCTGATTGCTGGTTGTAGAGAACTTGGTGTAACCATAAGTCACTGCCAAGATCTGGAAGTTGATTTTTCTGTAGAAACATTTTTATCTGTTATTGTATCTATGGTAATGTGGCTTTTATCTTAAATGGTCTGCTGATTGACATGTTCCTGTGGCAAGTAGTTCTAGGATTTGACTAAATGAGAACCAATGAACTATCGCACCATTTGGCACACTATTCTTTTGTCATAAAAGAATAAGTAGGTTTTGGTACTAAATGGGAGATCATTCCAATCCGATCTCAACTCCTTACTTGTTTCTACTGTGGTTTTCTCAATGTATAAAGGAGCCCCCCCCACCCCTCCAGGCAAAAGAGCCTAATTTTATCATAGATATTAAATAAACCATGGAGTTAGACAATCTCGCAAAGATTAGAATTACAATCAGTGTAAGAGAATCATTAAATATTTTCAATAGGTGTAATTCATGCTACAAAGATTATGATGTACACATCAAGTACTTCAGCTCATCACTGATCATAAATGTTAACATACCATGATATCTGAATTGGAGTCTGTTCATCTTCAATAGGCTCTTCATCTGATGAGTCAAACTCACTTGTTTGCAATGAACTAGGCTTCAAAAGAAATCAGTTACGTTAAATAACTGTAGAGAATATTTACATATAGTCTTAGTATAGCTGATCTTTGCTTAAACACACACTGAATGCACATTTGCAATTTATTCAATCTGGGGTATCAGAGAGATCAGCAATAACAATAAATTATTGCAATTTACCATGCTATTAATAATTACAGCACTTTGTAGTAGAGTTGGATTGGGAATCAAGAAGCCTGGCTTCTGGTGTTGGCTCTGCCACTTGCTGTATAAGTGATGTCAGTTTATTCTGGATCTCAGTATTTCACAACTATAAAGTGAGATTTATTCACTTGTTCACAAACATTTCTTAGACACCTTCATTTGCCAAGTTCTGGAGAGCCAAGATCCATAAAATAAATAGCCTACTTTCAGTGTAGTTGTAGACACAGATGTGTGCACAGATTACAGAAGGAAATTTTAAGTGCTAAAATGTAAGCATAATCTATGCATTTTAGAACAGAAAAGGGAGTGACTGACTACTTAGGGAGCTGGAGAAAGCTTCACAGAGGAGATGCATTAGCTGGGTTTAGAGGGATGAGCAGGAGGTTTTAGGCAGATAGGGAAGAAGCTAAGGCTATTATGGCAAAAGGAGAAAGGGCTTGTGTATTTGGAAACTATTATCAGAGCAGAGGAGATGAAGCTAGAGATGTAGTTTTACCCTACCCCATTTATCAAAAAATAACTCCCATACAGCCTAGTAGTTTGGTTGGGGTAGGAGTATAGGTAGAATAACCTGCCCTCAACTTTGTGAATCATTGGACTAGAGAGATTGAAGTGGGCTTTGTGTGCTGATCTAAGGAGTTGGAGCTTAATGCTGTAGGCATCATTTCTACAAGGCAGACTGTTGGAGTTTTATAAGGCCAATAAAAACATACCTTTCTTCTACTCCTTAATTGGAAACAACTGAGAGATAAGACACTTCCAGGGAAATGGAAGTCAATACATTAGTCTTATTACAGTGTCATTATTGTTTTAAAGCAGTGGTCTGGTGGGCTTGTCAATTCTTCACTCTAGAATTGGATTTATCCACCCAGTCATAGGCAGCCAATGACAACCCAAGACTCCCATGTGGCAGAGAGCACTTCAGAATGTACTCTGCAGAGAGAAGGGAAAAAGGGTGGAACTACCTGTGTTCAGCAGCTCTCAAACTTGAGGATCAGATCACTCATCTTGCCTTTCTGGGGACAAGTGGAGAAAGAGGACAGGAGGGAAGGACAGCTGATGTCCCAACGCATGGTAACATGGGGATTAGTAAGTGCAACCACCTAATGGCCTTTCTAGCTCTGAAGCTATAGTCTACAATGGTCTTGCCTGTTACAAGATCACATTACAGAGCCAAATTAGGCTGTGGCCTTGAGTTGCTTTGGCCCTGTCCCTGTTATTAACTCAAATCAAATGAAGGCCCTTCAGTAAGTTGTCAGCCTTGGCGGTAGATGTGAGTCAGGTGGGGCTTCAGCTTCTTGCATCTGTTTCTTTCTCTGAAAAGCAGTTTTGATGATTCAAGATTTTCAGTTTGCGTGGCCTACTCAGGTTCTCCCAGACAGGTTTAGAAACCCTAACACAGCCGGGCGTTTCCGCTCCCGGGACGCAGGGATTCTGAACCTCGGGGGAGGCACCAGGTGCCGGGCGGCTGGGGGGCGGGCGGGCGGCGAGGCAGTGGCGACGACACCCACAAGCGGGGGCGGGCAGTCGTCTTTCATGACATTTTCCTTGTCCACGGCGAGGACCGCTCCCCAGGGGGCACAGGGCCGCCGGCCACATCTTTTGGGGCTGGGGTATCCGGCAGACTGATACGCTCAGACACTTGAGCTCTCTCAGCCTCAGCTTCCCCAGTAAAACGGGGCTCAGCCCTCTCCGGCGGGGCTGTCGCGAGGTTTAGAAGACCCGGCAGGCGATAGCAGACAGCCCACGACAGACGCACAGCGAATGCTGCTTCCCCTCGCCCGCCGCCGAGCCTGTTCGGTCGCAGCCATCGCTCTCGCGGGTCCCGGGAAGCGCCACCTCCCCTGCCCAAGGACCGTTACTGCGCGAGTCATTACGCCACCAGACCCGGGCTGCCCACGGGCCCAGGAACTAGGGAGCAGGGTAAGACTGAGGTCCAGAATAGACCGACATCGCTTATACAGTAAGTGGGAGAGCCAGCACCAGAAGCCGGCCCCGCTGCCGTCCCTGCGGCTTCGCTCCTCCAAGCCTCGGCCCGACTCACCGGCTTCATCGCTGGCCGCCCCACGTCGCGACCGGCCACCGTCTCCCTCCAGCTGCACCAGAGTCTCAGCGGCCCCGCGCCGAGCCCGCCCCTCCGCTCAGCTCATTGGTACGTCCTTTTGTGAGGTGGGGCGCGGCGTCTTCTAGGAACCAATCACGCCCTCGCTCTGTTTCTTACTCCGCCCCCCCGGTGCCCTGGCTCGGCCTCTAAACGCTCATTGGTTCCTAGGTGTCCTTTGAAAGACGCGCGGGAGTTGGGCCCAGTTGAACTTTGATTGGCTGGGAGGGCGCTCTACTCCCGCCCGTTAGGAGAACGGAGGGGGCGGGGCGAGAGAGGGAGCGGGAGAGTTTAAAGGCTGCCCGGAGCTTGGGCACTGCCGGGTGCCCAGGACTTCCAGCTGGTATCAGGGTAGGGAGTTTTGTTTGTTTACTTTTGAAAAAATTGTTTTAAGGGCATGTGAAGGGGGTGGGGCACTGTCCTGGAGCAAAACACGGCACGTCCCGTAGACTTTATAATTATGGTCATATCTAGTCATACAAGTACTATGGAGATGGCTAAAAATATAGACTATAAAGATACATTGTATGTTTGATATTTTATGTCCTTTACCATTCCAGGATCTAGACGGGTTAGGGTGTAGCTCGACCTTCCTGTTCACCAAATATGAATGAGATAATATTGTATGAGGGGAAGATAAAGTCTCCAGATGGTTCTAAGCACTGGTGTTTCTTACGTGATCAGCTGTAATCTTTCAAAAACGTGTTTGGTTGTTCTCTCCCTCCATTCCCCAGTCCCCGTTTTTCTGGCCATGGGGAAGGAAGTCACCTGGAGCAATATTACCTGCAGCGCTGACAAAAATATGCAGAAATGTCAGCTCCCTGACTCATGTTGTGAAAATCAGTGTATGTAGAGCTACTAGAAAGAATTCCTCAGGACAGAAGATAGCAGTTTGACTTCGACTGCGTTAGTCAGGGTTCCCCAGAGAAACAGAACCCATGGATATATACGTAAAGAGGTTTGAGGAATTGGCCTCCGCTGTTGTGGAGGCTTGGTGAGTCCAAAATCCTGTGAGGGAGGCTGGGGGACGGGAGACTCATTAAAGAGTTTTGGTTGGAGTTCAAAGGCAGTCAGTCTGTGGTAGAACCAGGACTAGCTGATGTTGCATACGAAGTCCAAAGGCTGTCTGATGCAAAATGCCCTCTTGCCTTTTTGTTCTATTCAGGCCTTCAACTGATTGGATGACGCCCACCCACATTATCGAGGGGAGTCAGCTTTATTTCAAGCCCATTAATTTAAATATTAATCCCATTCAAAAACACCCTCACAGAGCTCTGGCTGGGTAGCTCAGCTGGTTAGAGCATTGCACCCCTTCCCTCCATGCCAAGGTTGTGGGTTCGATCCCCCATCGGGANCAGAGCTCTGGCTGGGTAGCTCAGCTGGTTAGAGCATTGCACCCCTTCCCCCCATGCCAAGGTTGTGGGTTCGATCCCCCATCGGGACACATACAAGGATCAACCAATGAATGCATAAATAAGTGGAACAACAAATTGATGTTTCTCTCTCTCCCTTCCTCTCTCTCTCCCCCCTCTCAAAATCAATAAATAAAAATTAAAAAACAAATAAACACCCTCATAGAAACATTCAGAATAACATTTGACAAAATATCTGGGCACTGTAGCCCATAAAATTAGCCGTAACAGACATATTGGATTTGATTCATCCATTCATTTGGTAAATATTTATTGAGCACCATCTGTATCCTAGGTACTATTCAAAGTGCTTGGAATGCTGGAACGAACTAAACAAAGTCTCCCTACCTTTACGAGGCTCACATGCTGTTGGGGGAGATGGTCAGGTAGTGATATGTGCTGCGAAGAAAAATTAAAACTAGTGGAGCCTGATGAGGATGCTATTCTAGACAGAAAAGTCAAAGAAGGCATCTTTGAGGAGATACCGTTTGAGAAACACCCAAATGAAGAGAGTGAACAATTTGAATGTTTAGGGGAAGAGCTTTCGATCTGTCTGAAGAGCGAGGTGGTACAGAGGCCCTGAGGTGGGAATGTACTGCGTGTGTTCAAGGAGCAGCAAGGAGGCCAGGATGGGAGAAGCTGACTGAGTGAGGTGGAGAGTGGCAGGAAATGAAGCAGGGCCTTGTGGTGGGCTTAAGAGCTTTTTTTTCTGAAGGATTTAAGAGAGGATTCAAAGAAAGATTAGGACCAGGGCTGTGGTAAGGTAATTCCTATCTCTACGACTCAGGGCAACAGTGCTCTCTTGGTGGGCCTCAGGAAGCTGATATGCCCTCGCTTCCTAACTCGTGCCTCCTCTCCGCTTCTCCCAGTGTTGTCTCTACAGATCCTTTCATTTTCAGCACCAGGTGTCCCTGCCATGTCCTCAGAACATACCCTGCCCCGCCGCCCCCCCCAATTAAGTCCCAGCTCCTTGGAGTATTGTGCACATTCTGCCACCTCTGGCCTCAGCTGGATGCCAACAGTCTCAATCTGTCGTAGTCCTGCCCCTTCTGCAGAGAGGAGAGGAAAAGTGGGCTCTGGTCCCAGAGCAGGAGGGGGGAGGGGCTGGGTAAGCTGGACTATTGTACTGCTGTTTGTTCTCTCCAACAGGACTGTGTCCAGGCTTTTTCTTTCTCTACCTGAAGACAAACACATCTCACTTCTGCGATGTAGCGTTTGTTTGTTTGTTTGTTTTTGGTTTTTGGTTTGGTTCAGGGGTTGACAAACTTTGGCCCATCAACCAGATCCCACAGGCCTGTTTTTGTAGTTTTGTTGGGATACAAGCATACTCATTTGTTTAAGTATTTATGGTTGCTTCTGTGCTATAACGGTAGAGATGTGTAGTGGCAATAGGGACTATATAGCCTGCAAAACCTAAAATGTTTACTGTCTGATCCTTTATAGAAAAAGCTTGCCCACTTACAGTACATAGTCTATGAGAGAAATGTATATTTCTTCTAATAACATGAGTTTAAGTCTACTTCTTGCAAAGTGTTCTGGCTTTATTATGCTAAAACATTCTCTGCTTGGCTTGGTCCCTTCATTATTGAGGGTCCCACATAAACTAACAAGGCCTCTGGTTGAGCCATCTGCTTAATGGTATCATAGTAACCTGGTTTCTCTCTAACCCCCCAGATTCTTTCCTGAGAGGAGGAGTGGGAGCTTAAGTTCAGCCTGCCACACCTGTAGTCTGTAGTTGATTTTTTGCTATGTGACTCATGGCTGTTAACAGAAATGTATGTGGTCAAAACAATGTGGAAGATTTATCCAAACTACCAGACAAAAAAGTGTTAACACATGTTCATAGACAGGAATGTTTTGAGAGATACTCAAAAGGAAGTGAAACATGAGTACCAGCAGTAGGTGCACTTGGATGTATGTTTTACAACAGATCTCTATTTAAAAAATATTTTAATATTAATACTAATGGATTTGACATGTGTGTTAGGGAGAGAATACTGGAATCTTAGAGTTAAATGCAACTTGGAGAGAACATACTTCCTCATTTTTGACATGATGAGTTTAAGAATTTCTCTTGTGGTGGCCATCAGATATAGTATATGACATTTGCAGTAGACGTCTATATGTCATTTTCCCATTGTTTATCTCTTTGGCGAATTGCCCCTTTCCCATTTCATGTGGTCTTGTTGGGCATGTGGCTGGGACTGAACCATACATGTACTCTATTCCTCTGGTCACAGTTATTAGTCCAGGAAATGCATGTGACCCAAATAGGACCATCCTTTCTGGTCTTGTGTGCTTTGGTTGCTCTTATTTTCTTCTTTACCTTCCCAAGATTTCTGCTTTTCCCAAGAATGATGCTGGATAATTAGAGTAGATTGCAAAATTTATTTAAAATATCACTTAAAATTTAAAATGCCATTGGTTCCATAATTAGAATAGATTGTATTTTCCATAACACTTTTACTCATCCCAAATGCTCTTCTGCAGTGTGACTTTGTCATGCCTTGTTAGGAGGTTGAATATAATACTCCTCCTCCTGAATATCGACTGGCCTTAGGGATTAGCTTGAATGTAGCAGAAGTGACAAATGATAAGCTCAGTAAAATTTCATACCCATGTAACTGGAACCCAGATCAAGAATTAGAACATTATCAGCCCCCCGAAGCCTCCTTTATGTCTCCGTCCACTATCCCCCTCAAAGATAGCTATGTTTTGACTTCTGACACTATCGCTTAATTTTGCTTGCTTAGGAATTGTAAATAAATGGAATTTTTTGTGTATGGCTTCTTTTGCTCAGCTTTATGTTTGTGAGATTTGTTCATGTTGTTGTGTGTGGTTGTACCTGTTCATTTTCATGACAGTATTTCGGTGTTTGAATATACTGGAATTCATTCATCTCATCTGCTGCGGATAGACATTGGGTAGTTTCCACTGTTGGGCTATTAGGAAT